AAATTGACGAAGATTTATTTGCAGCATCGCTATTTGGAAAATTAATCCATCTTCCAAATGACTCGTGGGACATAAATCAAAGGGAATTTTATAATTATATGCATGAAATGAGAAGAAAAACATATTTTTTCCCCCATGTGAGATGATGGCAAAATGCGGATTTTCTGATGATTCCTTCACCGTTGGGATTTTGCAACATAATTTTTAGGCCACAAGACGAGGTTAATGAGCAAAATAAATCTTCTGTCTTTTTTTACGTTCTTAACTTCATTTCCATTTCACCTGAAAACAGTCGCGTGGTATTTGATTAAAAAATTACACGCGAACAAGTGTGGGAAAAATATCAATGTGAAGACGCTGCTGAGCACAGAGATTCTCACACAACCGAGTGAGGCTTATCAGTGTCACAGCGTCGACAAAGTAGTTTAAATGGCATCAGCAACGCTTTGGTATTCATTCGACGACATTATCTGCATGTCTGATGGCAGATAAGCGAAGTCAGTGCAGAAGAACTCACATATATCAAGACAGATTTACGCTTTCGCAGATTCCACAGCAAAGAGTGTCTTTTGGGAATGCATTTGGCGCGTGTGTTGCATCTGAGAATGCCAGGAAATGCACCACAAAAGCCCTTACCCAACGCAATGGGTAGCAGATTAAATAAGTCTCTTTCATCGTATCAACCGCAGAGATGTGGAATTAGTTTTATAATTTGATTGTGACGCAAACATCGTGTTTCTCCTCACATTGATTGATGGAGTGCCTGGCGGGTTTCGCGCCAAAATTGATGATCACGATAGGCGGTTTAAGGCTTAAGTAAAAATAAATTGATCCGCACTATTATTGCACGTGTTCGATGTCGCTTAAGTGAATTATATCCGATGGCCAGAGAGTGCGAGAGAGTGTTTTTTTCCACCATGAATTGCACAATCGATTCCCACCAGCAATGCCACGGATCCGCCCAGCGATGGTCGCGCATCTGAAGAAATTGATGGAAAAATTGCATTTTTCACCAATCATTTGTCACGCTTGTCATCGGCGATTGCGGAGAAATCTGGCGATCATCAGAGATGATGCCTTTAGGAAAGGAAGTAATTGCCTCGCCATGACCTTCACATAGAAACTGTGGGAGTTTCTCAGGTGAACAGAAGAAAAGACCGTCCGGCCTCCACACTTACTCGCATTTTTATACCTCACACACTCTCGTGTCCAATTATGCTTTCCCACCGAGCAAATGGAGATTCACCCAAATTAATTGGTGATGGAAGATGCCGGAACAGAATCTGTGGACAGCGTAGCATCGCTGCATCATCATCAATAATCGCTCTGGCAATTTCCCCGCAAGACACCCATCATCATAGCAAAATTGACCCTTCACTTGCGTGCATCTCGGATCGTCCCAAATCCAATTTTGCATAAGCGCATTGCCAAATTACCTATTTTCCCGCGACGAACTCTTCCCATGCGACAATTTTCTTGGTATTATTCAAACGACATTTTTGAATTGCATTTTACAAATTTTTTTGAAAGCTTTATTTGACACATTAGCATTGCGAAGTCGTGAAAGCTTCGAGTGTCTTGTTTTGTTGCCAAAATATTGCTGTGGACAGCCAAAGTGAGAGTATCTTATTATTTGCTAAATTTTTATTGTTGATGACTTGTTAGATGGGGAAATTTTTACAATTATAACCGGCTTTTGCATAATTCATCTAATTTCAACTTAGATAAGCCGAAAATTAATTTGCAATCGCGCAATATGCGCTTACAAACCCACTCTTCATCAATTTTTATAAAACCGGGCATAAACATATGGATTAACCCAGTAAAAATATGTATTTAAAAGCACCCGTGAGGAGGATTGGTGACCTTTTCTGGTCTGGACAAGTGCAGAAGCTTTTCTATCGTGAAAGTATTCACTGAAAACGTCCAAATATTCCGGTAAACTCAAGCCTCCTTTATTGCTTGCTAAAAGTATGAGTCTTCAGGCGTCAATCGCATGCCAATCAAGGCGATACTCTGAGGGCAAATTGCTGAAGAAATGGGCGCCTAATTGGGGCGGAGTGCAACTCATTTTCTCCCACTCGAAAGATGATGAGAGGCAATAAATTGTGCGATTGCTTTGAGAGACGGATAAATCAAAACTATCATTTGAATGGGCCTTTATGTCAATTTTCGCCTCACAAACACCTCTAATAGCCGCTCCAAGACTCATCCTCACGAACGCCTTCGTCGTTGCGTAATCGCCATTAATACGATTATAATCTGAAAGTATGTTGTCACATGTTGTATCAAAGCAGCGATGACTTCGGGGCGGTTAATTGTGTGATAAAAGATCAATAAAAGTAAACACGGTATGACAGTCTCCGCGAGTGAGAGTGGGAATGCCAAAAAGTGCCCAAGTACAAGTTTTCTGCGCATGATGGGACGACATAATGTGAAAGTAAACATGATTTCCGATCGGAAGAATAGCCGAGACGAGTGTTGTATAACATCGATTGGCGAATTTTTGCCCATTTTCAGCCATAGAGTCACTAGACTGCGTTTCTTTCGCACCTCAGCTGCCTTGGTAATCGGCGAGAGAACATGGCATTGTTTGGCGGGAGCCCGCCAGGTAATTAAAAGTTTGTTTTTATCCAATTCCTCTCTTGGGCAATTCTCTATGCTGGGAAATTGCAACATTGCCAGCAGAGATGCTGGCAATCGGCGGAGCTGAAGAGAAGACCGCACAACTTCACTGGCTAGATTACAATAGAAAGAAGAGATCTAAAGCGATCTTGATTTTTCAGCTCTGATCTAATGAATTTGATAACGAATGGATGTAATTCCATAACTTCGCAGAAACAAATCATAAGAATTTCTTGATTATTCTCCATGCCAAATTTATTAGACAACAAACTCAAGATATGCCTTTCTCGGCACCTGATGAGCACGTGTGTTGCGAAAGCAGCGATTAGTGCCATTTCATGTGGATCTGCCATCATACATCAGATTATTCTAATTTGTCTCTTTTTCCATCAATCCTCTCGCGTCCAGTGGAACGCAAAAACCGGACAGAGGCAAAAAGGAGCTACGAGAGTGTGCGAAAAGCGGGTCATCACTTATGAAGATGTTACATAAAATTAATTAAATGATTGATTTTTCGTCATGAGGGCCGTTCACTCTCTGTCTCAGGCGAGAGCACTTGGAATAACAGCTTCAATTGGGCAACAAAACGAAAGACATCAGCGGTGAGGCGACGAACCCGAGTCCCTTTCTTTTTGCGTTATCGCGCACCGACAATGCTTCATGACGATGATTTACATTTTTATGGTCATCGGGTTCAAGATGCGTGATGATGATAATTGCAAATGTAACACAATTACACACATTTAGTGGCATTGCATAACACTATAAGTCGCTTCTGTGCGAGAATTGGGACAGAAATCCCAGAGAAGTGTGGGCAAAAGGTAGGAAGTTTCCTGCTGAGAAGAAGAAATGTGGTGAACTAATTGGATGAATGGCTACTCATGGCAATAATCTCGCTGTTGATTGCTTTTGGTGGGTGATTTATTGGAAATGGGAGGATCTCGCAAGCACTTTAGGTCAGTAATTTAGTGGTTTATCGATGTGCAATAGTGAGATTTGATCTCCTGTAATTGAGAGTGTAATTCAACTAAGGAAGCCTTTTTGCATCCGATTCTACAAATGATGATATCGAAATAATAAGCATTAATAGCATTAATTGACAAATTTCTTGCCCCTTGAATTGAACTTGACTACCGCTTGTATTTTCACTCAACGATTAAACGAGCATTATCTATTAAATTCATTTGATTGAATAGATTTTCCCAGCGATGAAAAAAGCGGATGGCATGGACCGGAGAGCAAAAAAAAGAATCCAATTACCACACTTGGATCTTCATCATTCATGTGAAGTTCATGATTGATCTGTTGGCCTTTTCACTTTCACGCGTGAGGCAAAAAAGGCGTCCAATAGGCAAAATTTGGCCATCTCGTTGATCTCTGTTGTCTCGATCTTCAATCACACGTGGAGCTTTTTTCCGCCAACTTGATGCATTGTTCGTGGCAGAATCTCTTCCGACAGTGCGTCCGGGGAGGGTCAGTGAAGACAATGCGCCATAAATATCCCACCGACAGTTTTCAGTGGAAATGGAAGTGAGATTTCATCCGTGGCCTCACCATCATCAATGGGATGACACCAAAATCCACTAAGCCAGTGTGGATTTGCGGCGTTTTGCCTCACGAGCTCAGGTCTAAGAATGCAAGGAGAAATGCCACGAGAGTCTGAGAAGAGTCACGAAATTGTTCGTGCATGCAAATTGGCTATTAGATTGAGAGTTGTGAGAAGGGATGTCGTGCACTAAATCTTCACGATAAATTCATTAATTTCTATGGCATAGAAGAAAATGCTCAATATATTTTATTCGCTTGTTATGTAAATGGAACCTCTGTATTTTCCGGTAAGCTATTCCTCCGGAGAAGCCTGCGGAGTTGACCCAAATCCCTGGCTACTCCTCCAGTAACCTCCTTATCTGCATTCCCACCACCTTCTCCCGACTCTCGGCGTCAAGTGAAAGAAAAAGTGCCGTTGAAGATGCTCTCGCGTGCCGACCAACCACCTGAGCGACTTCACTTTCGGTTTCTGTGGCGGGAGTCTCGAAGCGTTCCTCCCACCCGCCCGCCGGAAGGGGGGCGCTCTTCGTCTCGGAATGTCTCTCTGGCAATCTCTGGCCGTTTAGGCCAGTATAAAACGGAGATTGGCCCAACGGAGCGCCACAGTATTGAGACCACTGTCGGTCCATCAGTGCGATCAACCCCCAGTGGACCCAGAATGAGGTCGTTAACGCTTCTGGTTAGTGCCGCCCCGCAAGGATTTACACTATATGGATTACCTGTGAAGATCGAGTGAAATATTTCAGTGATTTCTGTGCTATAGTGAATTTGCGTGACTAGAAATTGAATCGCTTATTCTTTTGGATTATCTCACTCGATCCATCACAATGGACTTGAAGGTGCATTGCAGAAGTTTATTTCCTAACTCGTAATCTTGCATTTCTAGACAATTTTCGGCTTTGTGGCGGCAATTCTCGCCGTTCCAGTTGCCGAACAGGACAAAGCAGCTGCCCAGGAGGCTCAGGAATCGGATCTGCAGCGCGTGAAGCGAGGTTTTCACCACCAGCCAGAGGGAGTGTGGAAGAAGAAGCTCGTGTGGAAGGAGGATTGGGTGCAGATCTGGCGAACGGAGAAGAAGCAGGCGTGGAAGCAGGAGTGGAAGAAGATCCAGGTGCCGATTTGGAAGAGTATCGAAGTGCCCATCTGGAAGGAGATCCAAGTGCCTGACTGGAAGATCCACAAGGTCCCTGCCTGGAAGGAAATCCAGGTGCCCATCTGGAAGGAAGAGAAGGTGCCGGACTGGAAGAAGGTGACGAAGCCAGTGTGGCGCGAAATTCAAGTGCCCGTGTGGAAGGAGATTCAGGTGCCGGATTGGAAGCAAATCTGGGTGCCAGAGTGGGTCAAAGTGAGTATCAATGCGCAGTATTGTGGCAAAGTGAAATTCAATGCAATTGGGACATACAAGAACATGATTTCATTCAATTTCTCCTCCAGTGATCACTCCTTTTACATAATTGTATGTTTTCTGGTAGAGATACAAGATCAAACAGTCTTGCGATGAGTGAAATTCTCTCAGAATTGAAAGTGTGTCATTGCTCAATTTTTAGAATTGACCCAATGGTTTGTTTTGCTATCCCTTTCAGATGGGAATTCCTGGCGAGAAGTACCTTGGCAAGGATCACGAGGGCTGGGAGTACACTAGTCACGATCTGTGGCGCAAGAAGCTGGTCTGGAAACCACAGTGGAAGAAGATCTGGCGCACGGAGAAGAAGCAAGAGTGGGTGCCCGAGAAGAAGCTGGAGTGGAAGGAAGAGTGGGTGCAAATCTGGCGGCCGGTGAAAAAGCAAGTGTGGATCACTGAGAAGAAGCAAATCTGGAAGGAGGAGAAAGTGCAGATCTGGCGGACAGAGAAGAAGCAGGAGTGGGTGACGGAAAAGAAGCAGTTCTGGAAAGACGAATGGAAGTCCATTCAAGTGCCAATTTGGAAGGAGATCCAGGTGCCCGCCTGGAAGAAGGTGTGGAAGCCCGTGTGGGAGAAAGTGTGGGTGCCCATCAGCCACGGTCATAGCCACGGCTGGGACTAGAACGTCGTTCGCCTGGTGGATGAAAGTGTGAATTGCAGTCATAGATCTCGATAGTCTCGCGGGCGCCGCGGCGTTATTGCTCTGTAAATATTGCGCTATCCTTTCGAATCCCTCTTCAAAGCTGCCAGCTCGCGGGAGCCAAGTCGATGGAGAGCTCCCAAAGGAAGGAGGATTAATACTCATTGGGATATCTTCTCTCTCTTCTGCACTTCCTCAAATGTACAATTAAATCATGCAGTCTGCCCTGTCCCTTTCGACCTTCCTCGAGAGCCTGTAATACCTACACTTCTCATCTCAGCCACGAATAAAGAGAAACCGACTGAAAATGCACAAAGCCAAGCGGGGAGAGAGAAGAAAATGTTGAACAATCATTGAGACATGAGTTTTTTTTGTAAATAAATGTGTAATAAATATTACCTGATAAAAAATACAGTCTTTCTGCATTGTGAAAAGGATTTCTTCAGTCCATAAAGCTAAGAATCGCGTCACGATGGAGAATCAGCATTTCTCCTCCAATTACTCAATAAGGCAATGAATTTATATAAGATTCTCTGTGAAACTTTTCCCTTGCAACTCTCTCGAGAGCCATTGAGAGAAATTCTCACTTAATTGCCTTTATATGTCACTCATTAACAGCTATGGCCCATAAGATAAATGAATTCACGAGTCTTTGTCTCCACAATCTTACACCTCAATTTGCCTTCAATGGCAATATTTTTTTATGTAATTTGCGCATCAAGAAAAATCCCAAACACCTCAATTTCAATCAAGAGCCCTGATTAGAGAGTCACATAATTGCGACAAAAGTGAATCTTCACGTGAAATTCATACCATGAGAATTTGCCAATGAGTGAAATGACTTGAAAGAGTTGTAAATGTGTTTTTTTCATGTGGGAAAATTATATTCAAACGACATGTGAATGTTGTTTATTCAGCTGTTGAGTGCCAGAGAGTGGATGGCTGTTGATAAAAAGCAATTCCCCGTGGGCATCGCGCTTTTCTTGCCGCATTGTATCGTATTTGCTGGATATTTAGCATACAAAAACCGGCAAATTGCTTTCAATTTCATCCAAACACCACCGCCAAGATTCTCCAGCTGAATTAATTAAGTTGATATTTCATCTTTCTCCGTGAGTTTTCGCCACTTCCGCGTGATCTTTCTGGGCTTTCGCGCGCACTTTGATTGTGAGGCGTTTTGCCTGTATCTGGGGTTTTTTTTCTCTTGTCGCGGCTCTAGCTAGAGCTGCAACTGGTTGCCTAGAGTAAAAAGTTCATTCAATTCTCTCTGGTGCTTTTGCATCATCGTCATATCGCCTTAATGAGAGTGAAAGTGCCCTCTGTCTCACTGCATCGGAAAGCTCTTCGTTCGCGAGGAATCTACCAGATGGAGAAAGATTCGCTCCTAAGTCGGGAAAGCTCTGCGGCAGCCCATTTCCGGCCGCTGAAGTTAATATATTGAGCCGCCAGTTGTTTATGTTACTGTCGAGTCGTTGTGGTTGAATTGACGAGTCACGGCCATCAAATAAATCTCGGGCTCCCGGTCTTTCTTCAGCGACAGCACTTTCTTTTATGTCTCAATTGGACAGTCCTTGATGTCTCCTCGAGGGTCTCTTCAGCAAACAGTCATCATCTTTTTTCCCCCCGCGAGTCTTGACCGTCAAATCACTCAAACTCATAACGGCGCATTGCAGTGAAATGCACATTTGCCGGTCCATTGAGTCGCCAAGTGAGCTGATTCAAATGATCTTGGACTGAAGAAATAGCAAATTTCATTACCTCTCTCCACACTCAATTTCCCTTGCACTCAGGATAATGTTGTTGGTTAAACTGAGCATGGTATGTGAAGAACTTGAGTATGATCGCTAGTCATAGTAGGAAAAGTCTTGAATTGTTGCAATCAACTCAAATTTACTCCTCATCCTCATCCATACACAACATACAATAAACCTCGTGCTTTTTTTTTCTCCGAGTATTCAAGAGAAATGGCAAATGCAGGTTTTTTTGTACTTCTCTCGGGCAACATCTCCTTCCTGATCTGCGTGCGCTTTTTCCAAGCCAACGTGACTTTGATCTTTACACCAATCTCATTTTATATAACCATGCAACTCAGCGGACTTTCGCTTTCAAGTTCTTGGCCGTTTCGTATTCCACTCTCAATTAATCTGCTCATGCATCCGTTGCGATCTTCACCTGCAATTTGGCGAGATAAAAAATCAGCCAATCCGCGCATTTCCAGCTCAGGTGTGCCCACACCCCCGAAAAACCGCCACGATTGGAAAGGTGGTTTAATTTGACGATCAATTAGTGGTTGTGGACGGCAAATGGCAAGAAAGCAAGCTGCGGAAGGCACGTTGATTGTTCAGTGGAAATTCTCTGGCATTTTTGCGAATTTTCACTCATAAGGCTGTAAACATGGAATTCCCGTGATGGCCTGAAAAGGTACGAACATCAGGAAGACTCATAGGCTGGTTAACATGCCACTTTAGACAAACGTTTTGGTGATTTTGCACGCAATGTGCCAATTTTTGAATATGCAACTAAAAATCAAGCATGAAATTGGAAAATTCAAGCTCATTTCCTTCACAAATTGTCATTATTCTCACATGTCATTATATGTAGGTATTTGATAAACACAAGCGAATAAAGAATAAATTTCACATGTCTGAAGCGAGATCTTTCAACTGATAAACACAAACTCATAAGACAAGAGGTTCTCTTAAGGTAAAAAAGAAGCACTCTCATTGATATTCAAAGCTGCTCGTCTTATGAATCAATTTCCTTTTAATTAATTCCACAGCAACTTGCAAACAAATCGCTACAAAATTTCTTGTTCCATTTCAATAAATGTACGTGAGCGGCAAAGTCCACCTGGCAAATTGTATTTATCGTATTTATATTCATATTTAGCAAAAACGATCCCGCATTTATTGCCTACAATGTTTCACGGTATTTATTAATCAATTGTGATTGATTTTTTCCGACGATTCCGCGAAAAATACACTCAACCCACGCAAAAAATGCCTCGAAGCGAAAACTATCGACATAAAGTCCCAATTAATTTGTCACTGATGCTGATGAGTTTTTGATGATCTTCAGCCTGAGCGAAGAGAAAAGCCGAGTTGAAGAATTGGAGAAAAATGGTCATTTAACCACACAAAGACATGCAAATTGTGCGAATCTGGCAACAAAGCTCGCCCAAGTGCATAAATGGTTAGGAAAAAGTGTGGTAATGGAAGAAATTTAACTGCTCGGCTGTTATCTAATAGAAAAAATCAACTCTTTCTGTTGGTATTCAAAACTAGTTCGCATAACTGAGTATAATTATTTTAATTTCTATTGCACTTCCTTCCTAACAAGAAACCGACGTCTGCCTTTTAGTGTGGTCTATGATATGAGTGTGTTGGCGCGAAAAAAAGGCAGGAGTTTCCGTTCCGTTGCAGCTTTTCACTTGCCATTACGAAATCAATTCAGTTGGCAATATTTGGCGGCTGAAGTCTCTTGTTTTTGGCTACGCACCAAAAAACCAGACCCGCGCGCAAACACGCAATTCGGGGGCAAAGCCCAGACTTTTTCCTAGACATTTCCTGAGGATTAGACAATGTGCGTGAAAGTTGACTCACGAGATCGCTGCTCTAGCGTTGGAGAGAACTCCTCGAGATGCGCCTGGAGAGGCTTTGCTGGGAATTTGACGGCCATTCGAGTGATGTTTACACATTGCTCGTGCTCGCGGCTCTAATCACAGTCATTACGGCCAATTGTGCGCCTCATTACATGATCGTCCACTCTCACATGGCTCTCGGTAAGCCAATGGGTTGATCATGACCGTGGACGACACGGAGAGTTGGTGTGACCATAGATTTTACCTCACACTCCCATATTGTTTGATTCCTCTTTTCTATTACGTTTTTAGAACCCAATTTGTGATCATTTGATTAATTGATCATTTCTTTTACGATTCGCGCTTTTTCCGTTTCTCCAAACTTTGTCCATCACGCTGATAATCCCATTAACATTCAAATAACGTGATTTATCTGTCTGACTTGGAAATTTTCGTGGGACTCTTTAGCATTTCTTTGATAGTGGATGAAAGGCTTTCAGGGGCAATCAATATTCGAATAAAATTCCAACTTAATTATCGCGGAAGAATTCGCATTCTCTCTCTCGCTTTGCTATTGGTGCTCAAACACTTTCTTATCTGGCAGTTTTTCACCATGATCAACTCTGCAACGGAGTGACTGAGGTGATTTTCTCATGGTTTTACAGCTTCTTCAATCATTTCACCATTTGGCACTGTCTCATAACATTCTCTGCGCACTTTGGCGGACAAAGAAAGTGGCGCGAAAATTGCCCAGCGGGCAAAGGGGAAAATTAGGGGGGAAAATCCACGCGCGTTCCCACAAACGCATCTCGCTGTGCCGGCAAAGAGTGTTACGAAATCGTTGCGTGAGGTCGATCAGGCATGATCACAATGTTGGACCAAAGAATTTTTCGGTGAAACGCGCCCGTGAACAAATTGGCAGTTTTGGTCGCTGCAATTTCATCGTAAAGACCGCAACTGTCGCAGGAATTTGAGTGTTTTCAGAGGCTCCGACTGAGAAAGAAAGTGACCTGACCAGTTGAATTGGCCACTCCATGCCTGGGAGGGTCATTCACTCGGCATTCATGAGATTGGGAGGTGCGCAAAAAGCCACGATATTTTCGAAATGCGCCCCAGGAGAGACTCCGTCAGATCGGCTTCCTTATCAATGCCCACACACCGCGGCCATTTCACCGCGAGCCGCCGCAGGGCCTGGCCTTTCTGTCCGTCACCTTTTACGCAACGGACAGGGCAGTAGTGCCAATACATCATGCTCCAGATGACAATTGCGATATGAAATCCAACCCGACAGATCACATAATCCGTGGAAGTGCCGGTAATCCTCTTTCTCCGCCGCGACATTTGCATTATCTAATTAATTGTGCGGCGATCAAGTGTGGCTAAGCTCTTATTTGTTAAAAAT